ATAATAATAATAATAATAATTATTATTATTATTATTATTATTATTATTATTATTATTATTATTACATGTACATAGATGTGTACGTATATGTAAATCTATACATGTATAAATATATATGTATACATACATAAATATATATATATATGTATATAAATTTATACAGTGTTGAAAGGTATATTAACATGTGCAGCTACAGGCACAAATCAAGAAGGAAAGGAGACTCCTGTCTCCTGTCTCCTTTTGCGGTGTATGCGCAGGTATGAGACAAACTATGGGGGGCTTCGGCAAGCTGCTGCTGCTATTCAAACATTAAAACCCAAAAGCAGCAGCCAAGGCATCTCTCCTGCTGCAGCAGCAGCAACTGGTGCTGCTGCTGCTGCCAGCCCTCACGCGGATACTGTGAGCCGCAATAACATCATCTCGACGCCTCTGCTGCTGCTGCTGTTGCTGCTACTGCTGCTGCTGCTGCTGCTGCGCCTCTACATTGTGCTGCTGCCTCCTTCTAGCTGCTGGTGCTGCTGCTGCTGTGTCTCTTCAGGAAGGAGCTGAGGACGCCGCTGGGGGACAGAGCGCCAGAGACACATTCTTCAGGGCAGTGTAGGTGTTGGCCGCTGCTGCTGCTGCTGCTGCTGCTGCTGCTGCCGTTGGCGGTGGTGGTGCTGCTACTATTGCTGTTGCTGTTGCCACCGCTGCTGCAGCTGCTGGCTAAGCTGCAGCTGCCGGCCCACTATCCGCAAACGCAGCTGCAGTAGCAGCAGCAGCAGAAGCAACAACAGCAGCGGGAGAGACAACAGGAGCAGCAAGCGCAGCATCAGCAGCAACAGCGAGAGCAGCACCAGTAGCAACAGCAGCAACAACAGCAGCGAAACTCGCATTAACAGCAGCAGCAGCAAGAGCAGCAACAGCACCAGCAGTAGCAGCAGCAGCAGCGAGACCAGCATTAACAGCAGCAGCAGCAGTGCTGCTTTCTGTTTGTTTTCAGGCGTACTGCGCGCAAGTCTACATCAAACCTCAAATTAAGAAAAAGAGGGGGCCCCCCCTTTTTTGCTGGGGGCCCCCGCCGCTAAGTACTCAATAGGGTACCACTGGGGGGCCCCCCAAGTCCATGGGGTTGG